ACACTACCAGCCTGAGGCATAGACAAACAAAAAGAGTAGCAACAACACAGCTCTCGAGCACACATAAACATTACTCTGCTATAAATGTCGGAGGCCTTCGCCGCCAGCGAATGTTTGCCTCCCATTCTGACTAACAAACACCAAGAATTATACAAGTGGCAGCAGTAATTCAAGCAGCAACAACAACGAGGAGAACTAAAATACTAACTATAATAGCAACAACAGCAGGCAGAAGACGAATAGCGCCCAGCATCATTAAGCATTCGTAATTTGTAACGCTTCGGTTATTTATAAATTATGCCACAGTGGCAACAATAAAAGCAAAAACATTAGCACTAAGTAGTCACAATAATCACAGGCGCAACTGATGAAACTACAACAACAAGAAAAGTGTTTGTAGTAAATAGTGTGAAAGTTTACACGTTTAGAAGTGGCGGAGCTTTGACTAATTTACACTGAGAGAAAAAGCTTCAGCACCACTTAATTCATTAATTCGCAAGGGGAGCGCAAATTGATGAGTTACAATCAATGAGGAGAGCTGCACTTTTGTAGTATTTTTTGGTCGCTGAAGCAACTGAAGCTTGGAGGAGCTTCTACACTATCTCAACATAATCGCGTCGGGTCGGATCAGTTCTTTTTAGGACAAGTTGATGGCAAGTATTTCTCCGATTTGAAGGTGGGATCTATATATCTGCAGCGGACATCGAAGATGTGGGTTCAGAGCACACCTGATATGATATTTGGGTGGGATCTTACGATATTCATGGATCAGTCATTCTGACTGACGTTTGTGATAGATACCAGTGCTAAAGCTCTACTGCTATCTACATCTGATTACATGAAGAGGTTAAATGTAAATATCCTGGAATCCCCAACCATCTATACCTGTAGATGCAATTTGGAATGCCTAGCTTTTTGATTCGTTTTCTTAATGAATATTTTTCGCAGTGCGGCGCTGTTTGACGTTCGTAATGTCCCCATTTGTTTTGCTTCTGAGAGGTTTCACGTTTACACTTTATTGGTGCTACATTTCCACCAGCGCACAAAGGCACTGCCGCGCAGTCGAGTGTGAACTCAGGCATACAGCAAACAAAATAAACAGAAACTCAGACAGCTCGAAGGCAAAGGACAGCTGAACTGCTGGAATGGGGAGAAATAGAAAAACCTATACAAAAATGGCAGCTGAAATAAGGCACATTAGTGGTGAAAGCCACGGCCCCACGAGCCGACAGAGCAACGCTTAAGTAGTCGAGTTCGTAGAAAGGACAGCAGCACAGCGACAGGAAATAAAAAAAGGGACACTTGGCGGCGAAAGGAATACGAAGTGGCCGCAACAAGGAAGACAATGCACGCAAAGAATATTAAAACGATGAAAGCATGCGGATAAGACGAACATAAAAGTGGGAAGCGATGCAAGGGCAGCTGGAATAGCAAAGAAAACTAGCACAGCGAATGAGTTGTGTGGAAGGGGGGCACGACGCAAGGAATAAGAGGTAAAAAAAACAACCGAACAAAGTTAAACTGAAGGCGCAGTGAGTAGTGAGCAGCGAGCAGCTCTTGGAGATAATGCAAGTGGTTCACGATAAAAGTGCGCCGATAAACGTTGCCCCAGCATTGAGGTGGAGAATTTAAGGAAGCTGCAGCAATTCTATAGGCGCGCTGTAAGGCTACCTTAGCGGCCGAAGCACTAGTAAAGTACTTGAGCTGCTTATAGTTGCGGAAGCATTCGAGGTGCGCCGCATTTAGTGCTGCAAAATGAGAAACAAAAACAAAAAAAGAATAAACCAAAGAATACAAAGCAGCGACGCGCGCCACCTAGGTAAATCGCAAGGTGCGACCGGAGTTCACAACAGCAAATGAAGCGAAAACACAATGGCTGAACTGAATTTGTGTCAAATGCGCATGGAGGGGCAGGTAGAGCGGGTGGCACACGCTTGAAGACGCTTGACTCGCAAGGGGCAGCAATAAAACCTACAATTATGTAGAGCTTGTCAGTTAGCGTTAGAAATTTCAGTAATGAAATTGCGAATGCTCAGAGCAACAGATAAATTATAATCGATAGTACTAAGCAATTTTCACAGCAGCTGAGTAGTAATAACAGTAATTTGGTTAGACATACTATTATTAAGGTATTATTAAGGTATCGTAGACTGTCAGCAGAGAGCACGCCAATGCTTGTGAAAAATATAAAAATAAATAGGTGTAGTCTTCTTCGTCGGGTATGTGTTTATGTCATGATTTCGGGGATTTAATATGCTAGAGTAAATAATACCAATAAATTCATTAACCGTTCGTGAAGTGCGGACTAATATTCCTTAGCCAGTAAAACAATGAAACGAAAATGCACAGCGCCTAAAAATATGTAATAAAAGCAAGAAAGACGCTGCATTCTTATTTAGAGCTAATTGAAATAAATTAAATGTAATTATTAGCTTTGGAAATTTTTCGGATCCTTCGCTGTATTTATTTTAGCGCACTTCACGCCGCGCACCACAAATGCACAAACACTACCACCCTCTCTACCACTCTCTCTCTCTCTCTTCCTCACCCTGTGGACAAAAGCAGGGCAGCTGTGGTTATTTAGCTGTGCGTTTGCGTATGTATGTGTGGTTGAGTGTGTATGTGTGGTTGAGTGTGGTGTGTGTGTGTGAACTATCAACCCTCGACGAAAGACATAATTGCCTCACTAAATAACCGCACTAATAACACTGTTATACACCATAGCAGCAACAAGCAAACAGCAAATGTGACCCTACTTTGGTCTCCTGAACTGAACACAAAAACGAAAGCAACCAAACTTCAACTTGACGTGCACATAATTCAAGCTGTAAAACGTGATTTGTGCTGTGCTGCACTGTGTTGCCTGTGCAAATGAGTGGCTGCGTGCGACGTTGTGGGTGTGTTAAGGCCACGGCACTGATTGCCACACCTCGTGCGTTGCTTGCCCACTTGTTCACCTGGCATGTTAATGCTCGACTTATAACAGCTCCATAAAGGCTTCATGACGGATTTATTTTCAAGTAATTGCTTTACTCGGCATTAATAAATTTCTCATGCAATTATTGTGTATCTTATTATCAATTTATTGTGGTTGTTGTTTTTGCTGCTGTTGCTGTTATTTGTGGCCTTTAACACTGGCTTTGTTATGCGGCAAATATTTGTGTAATTCCAGGAGTTATGAATGTGTTTTGCTAATTCGCTGTTAACTATTTGTGTTTATCACGGCTTACAGGGCGTATACGCAACATTTGTGAAGATAATGGAGTGTGTGGTGAAATTAAATTGATTTTTAACTTTTTTGAACTAAGAGTTAAAAAATATTGCCATAAAAATTGTTGAGTAATTTCAACACTATAAAATAAAATAGTTTATATGAAAATATATTAGAAAATACTTGCAGTATTAAATAAATTTAAATTTAGCAAACAATTTAAAATTTTATTGCAACAAAATAATTAAATGTGGCATGATAAAAATTAAAAGCTATAATACGCTTAACAAATAAAAAAAATGCATAAAAGCAGTTTATTTTGAAGGTTCGGTTTGTATGACAGCTATGCTATAGTGCACCGATTTGAATAATTTGTTCGGAGATTGTACCGTTGCTTTGGGCAATTATGCATGCCGAATTTCGTCCATATAGCTCGACAAATAAAAAAGTTTTATAAAATTTAACTCAATTAATTCTTTCAATAAAATTAAAAAAAAAATATTTTATTATTTTTTGTTAAAATAATTTATTTGAATATCAGTTATTTTTAATTTATTTATTTTTTGCCATAGCTTCAAACATTTATTGATTTTAATCAGATTTTATTTGCACATCTCCATATAGGTATGCATGAGTGTATGGTATGTGTACATATATATTAGTCTATAGTCTAAACTAATAAAGTGACTTGTATGAAAAGATGTGCGTGTGTGCATGTAAGATAAGACTACAAAAGACCGAACAAGAAAATGACAAAAATAAATGAATTTTAAAACAAAGTGAAATGTGTTAAACACATAATGATCATACAGAAATTATTTGCTTGTGAGTCAAGGGCAAACAAAACATGAAAAATCTCAAATTGCAATCTAAATAACAACGGCTACAAGGCGAGCTATTGCAGACCCTAACCGAGTCACCAAGTGATTAGCCTACCAGCAAATAGACAAGACGTGCAATAAAGCATAAGTAATGGAAAATGGCATCCGAAAAGAACAAGCAGATAATCTTAAAATATAATGGAGATAAAGTAGAAAGTGAAAGTAGCGTTGGAGGCGTTGGAGGCGGGGGGAGTAAAATGTAAAGCAAAATATCAAAGGCATCTCTTTGAAATTGTTTGTTTGCATGCGCTATAAGTGGCTTGCTAAGAACAGCGGCGACAGCCATTAAACTTTACAGCTTAACGCCTTAAAATGTCCAACGCTTTCCATCGCACACCACGCTGACGAAGGTCAAACGCTGTTGTTGCTCTTGGCCAGCGGCTAAACACACAAATGGCTTGCTAAGAGCCCTAAACGCCACACGGCCGCGCCTGTCAATGCCTTTATTAGCGTTAAGATATGTCTGTCAGTTTGTCAATTCTGTAATCGGATACTACTTTTAGGTTTCGTTTAAAAATAAATTACTTTAAACTGCAGAAACGCAACTGCGGCGAACGCGCATTTACACGTACGAATATATGACAGGCAAATGTCACGTATACGCCCCGACGACCAAAAGCACTCTTGCACGCTCATCTGCTGCCTGTCATTACACGACTTCGTTTGTAGTCGCCCATTTTATGTACTTGTGCCGAAATATCACTGAAATAGTTACGAGTACAACAACCACCGGAAAACCTTGCTTTTCGTGCTTAACTGACCGAAACGTGACTGGCAAGTGTAGGACACGCGAGCACTCAACGTAAGTTGTTTTGCGGCATGTCGCTAGACATTTTCAAATGGTCGCGTTGAAATGGGGTGGGTTAGCATATATGACATAACGGGAAAAATTATATTGCTTTACTCACCGTGATCTTATTTGTTCATTGGCTAGTTCGGTGCGTGGAAACTTTTTCGATGCCGCCACTGCGGTCTCCAGCGCACTGGTGTCGTCCAGTTCGCCCTCAAGTGTGACGAATATAATGGAGCCCATGGCGGTGTAGAGTAGCACGAGCAGGAGCACGCCTGCAGGGTTGGAAGTGTATGGAGTAGCAGTTTAGTGCGGATGAAATGGAAAATTAAATTACCGTTAGGCATTAAAAAATATTGAAAGTTAGATAATATTGATGATTTTCAAATTTATGAATTTCATTTATAATTTTCTGCATATTTTACCTAACTTTAGACATCATCTTCTTTACAATTTCTCATTCTTCCTACCATTTCGCTCTCTTTATTATCATTTTTATGCTCCCTTGCTCATTATTTCTGCCTCTCAATCACAAATTAAGCTGTACGCTTTTTCTCATCCATTAGAGATATTATTTTCATCTCTCATGTTAATAATTTTCTTAATCTTTCTCAATCTCCTCATCTAATCTTACCCAAAACCTCATCCACAGTTTTTTCTTTTGGCCCCTCCATTATTTTCACCTAACCTAAAAATATTTCTATGCATATCTATATCCTCATACATCTATATCATTCCCACTAATTAATTTATATATCCGTCTCTGGTTTTTTTTCTCTATACCTCTCCCTTTTTCTCTTCCAAATTCTCCAAAGTTTAAAAAATATCTCTCTTTAAGCCACCTTCTGTCAAATTTGCGCTCTTTTCATTTTCGCATTCTTTCTACTTTATAAATTTTCTCACTCTCATGTCCTTCAACGCTTCTAACTTGTTCATATTTCTAACTCACCTGTCGCCGATATGCAATGTGACTTGGGTGCCTTCTGGCAGCCGCATAAGCCGCCAGTGCCACGTTGCTTCTCTCCCGAACCACCGCTGCCACCGCTTGAGCCACCGCCACCACTACCACTTTTACTGCTTGGGAAACACATGCCGCTGCCAATGCTGCTACTGCTGCTCGAACTAATCGCCGATTGCGAGGCGTGTATGAGCGTCGGACCACCAATGAATGCGGTCAACGGCAATGGTGGCTTCTTCTGCATAATAACGCCCACGTATGGGCGTGTTGCCTTAGGCGACAACGATGGCCAGCACTGCAATTAGCGTAGTGCCGATGCGTGTTCACTTGGTGACTTTGCTACGATTGTACACTCTCACACTCTCGCAGTGTTCACTTGCTTACGCTCTCAGTGATCTCTAGAACTGCAGAAACAGCTGTTTGCGTTATGCTGATCAGCTGTTTTCACGAAAAACGAAATTTATGTCTGCTTAAATGCAAAACTACCGTTAAGTTTAGCTTTTGTGTGAGTTTATTCCTTTTTTATTCGGTGCTCTCGCAGAAATTCGTTTGTTTTACAGTTTTTAGTCTAATTTTTTTGCCCGACAACTTTTCCAACTCATTTTTGTTGGCAATTAAGTTTCGTATTTTTTAGCGCAAATTTTTTTGCCGCAACACTTAAAATAATAACGCCACAGTATGGCTTGTTGCTAGTAGCTTTTATGAACACTTATATGCATAGAGCTTGCTTTGTTGTTGCACCTCTTAAAGAGTGTCTGTTCGCAAAACGCCAGCTGTTGCAATTGTTGTTCTCCGTCGCCGGAAGCTGTAATAAAAGTAAAAGTAATGAGAGATAGAGTTAAATAACTTTTTATACATACATACATATGTATATATATACTTATACATATATATAAATACAGGAAGGAGAAACAAAGTCTGCTGAGGCGGGAGAGCTGGTGTATGACGTTGCTATTTAATTTCGTTTAATTTAAAAGCATTTTGTTATATTGACATTAAGCTTTCTATGAAAAATAAAGCATGTAGTTGGGTTGGTAATAAAATTTAAGTTTATTGCAAAAAATGCAGCGACCAAATTAATTAGATGAGCTGCGCCGTGGTCAAAAGCGAAATGAGGAAATTAGATAAAACAAGATTTAACTTATTTGCGTTGAGCAGAAATTAAATTGAGTGAAATTATAATGCTAACTGGTGGCTACGTTTATGCGTCGAAAGCGGGAAGCAACGACAAGTGAGAGAAGCAAAATTTGTATGGGAGATTTATTAAATTTTTAATCGGTTTCCACTAATTTTCGTATTATTCGAGCACGTGTTGAACACACAGCATGCAGACCACACAACGACCACTGTGTCGCTCGCTGCTACACGTCTAATATGCTTTAAGGTGTTGTATGCAATTGAAATTCAGAAAAATATTTTTTTTGCGAGCTTCTTTGAAGTGGCATTTAATTTAGTAAATAAACAAACAATAATATTGTATATAAAAAAAAACAAAATTAAATTTAAAAAAAATTAAAAATTAAAAAAAAAAATTTAAAAAAACCTAATTAATAAATAAAAATAATATGCATTTACAGAATTTAAAGCACTTCAAAAATCGGCGAATCATCTTTAAAAATTTTGAATGCCTAAAATATTCTCAAACACAAAAACTGTGAACTGGGATTTCTCCAGTTCCGGAATCGGATTGCTGCAAGTTTACCATTTAGAGCTTGAGCTCAAATATTGTTAAAGCCAGGTCTAAATCACACCCCCTGTCGGCAGCGAAATAGCATATTCTTACATGAGGATTCTGCTCTAGACATCTAGTATGATAAGTTAGTTAGAAGTGTTTGGAAAGAGAAACCGAAGCTAATTTTAACTTTTATTTTCAAAAAAGTAGTTTCGTAGTAAATTGGATCTAACGCAAGCGGAACGACATCCAAATAGATACACATGATGCCTCAGGTAGGTAGGTAGGTAGGTAGGTAGGTAGGTAGGTAGAGTGGCTGTCTTTCGACACACCTAGGCCTTTAGGAGACCCATCGTGATACCACTGGGATCAAGGTCCCCACACTCTTTTGGCTCTTCTCTCAACCACTCCGTACTTCTGATGAACTTTAGTAGTAAGACAGGTTTTAGCCGTGCAACCTCCGCGACGTCGTCAAGAAACCCTCGACCGTTGGCTGCGATGCTCTTCCCATATAGAGCTGTGCAATCGCATAGAAGATGTTTAATGGTCTCCTCCTCCCTCCACCTCCTGACAGCATCTACAATAGTCGTTAAATGCTGTTTTAACTTCAAAAAAACTAATCTGATATATCAAACTAACACTGTCGACTGTTTCTCTCCACTAATAACAGCATTTTTACGCAAAACACGCACATGCACGCATGCAAGTATAAAACAATTATGCATAAATCAGCAAATGTCAGTCAGCAAACAATCAGCAGAGAAAACGAGCAGCCGAAAGCCGCCAACGTCAGAGTCACCATGGAATGAAGCGTCGACGAAGCGAAGCAATTACCGAATCGAAAGCAGCGACAACACAGCAAACAACCAACAAAACAAAAAAAAACAGAAGCAACAACAAAAACATGCAGCAACAACTGTTATAAAGCTAAAATGCAACTCAAAAGGCGAATGCCAATGCATGCGTTTTCAACTCATTTTAGCAGCGCCAACCCCCTTGGCCCCACTACGAACGTTAGTTTTGTCGTTGTTATTGTTGTTGCAAAAGCAAACATCCGCTCGAGCGTACTAACAATGTGGCAAACATGTTGGCTTGTTGCTGTCGCAGCAATTGTTGTCGTAGTGGGTGCCGCAAGGCTGACGTTTTTGGCTGTTGGCAAATGCACACTCACACCACACCTCACACCCACCCACACTCGTACAGCAAACGCACAGCCACTTATGCATGTGCTGTTAAATTGCAAAAATTGTATTTACGCTTGGCTTTATTGAAACAAATATAACGGTACTGTGTATTGTCAAACATCGACAGCGCTCGTATAGCAGACTCGTTAAAGTTAACGGTTGTCGTTGCAATGGCACATGCCGAATGGCTTTGTGTGGCAAATTTTGAAAGCAACAATCAGTGGGGAGTTCGTAGTAGAGCTTTCTTCATTACTTAGGTTTTAGTGGTAGTGACCTTTAGCTTATATATTTTTCTTCGGTTGAGAAAACCAAACCAAACCGTTACTAATTTTTTTTTTTAAAGCTTACAGCTAAAGTATCAGAAAGGTAGTTTGGCTTAACTACCACAGCTTAATATGGAACCATTTCCTTGGCCCGTTTTTCTGACTGAACTGTAGGTTCGAGCGTTAGGATCTGACTATTTCTTTACAACGGAGTCAGGCTACACTCGAGGAACTAAAACGTTTTATGTAAAATTAAACTGTCAAAACCCCTTAAATCATCATCTTTCACTTTATGCTGCTCTCACTCTCATTCCCCCTCTCGAACTATATTTGCTTGAAGACACTCAGACTACTTTACGAAGCCTGACTTGGAAGGAATATAGTCTAACAAATATTCTCAGCAAATCGAAAAAAGTCCATCCAACCAGAGCTTTATTTCTTTAAATGATTTAGCCTCAATGAGACAACACTTGACAAAAACTCAATAGAAAAATGTACACCAGCTGCTAAGGAATCCGGTTACGAATAACGCTTTCAAAGTTAGGCATTAGGAGAGACATAAGACATTTTATATGCCGGAATAAGCAAGCACTCTTGAAATACTGTCTTGATATGGTGAAGTTCGTGAATCCAAGGGCATCGGGTTAAAGCCGGTAGGCTTACAGAAACTGAAAGCAGGTTCAGTCATATCTGTGTTCAAAACCATAGATCCGCACAATTTTTTTTTTTACACATTAATTATTAACTTTAACTTTCCACTAGCACTTTTCTTAATGCAAATTTGAAAATTCCATGCGCTTTCCAAGAATTTGTAATATTTTGTATTTCCAAGTACCACGGACAGCTCTGATTTGCCGTTATTCGCAACGTGCTGGCATGCCAAACCATAAATGTTGAGCTCATGTGTGGCCAAATTGTATATTTAATAGGTTTACTGTGTTTGCGCTGCGAATTCCGATGCAAGCAACATGCTGTGTACACGCGCACACACATACGCTCGAGCATACGCATACACTTGCAACTAAATCCGGGCTAACAATTTCGGTCGAGTTAACAATTAAATTCATTGCTGCAATATTCGACTATTCGCATTTCAAATGCACAAGTCCAACGGTATTTGTGGGAATGCGTATGTGTGTTGGTGTACAGCTGTTGCTATGTTTTTCTGCGCCGCCTGCCGCTGGGTGGCGCACTACCAAATACGGATATTGAAATGCGGTCATTACTACGCCCACAATGGGCCACAGCTGCAGGGAACGTGAAGTTGGAGCGCGGTAGACAAGTTTGGTGTACTACAGGTGCGCTTAGCGCTGGCCGCCGCAGAGCCGTAAGCAGATAGATAATAGAAAAGCACACAACCATCGCGCACACGCACACGCAAACTCTGGCGTAGATATGTGCAACTATGCGCTGGTATTTGCGTGAGCCACTCCGGGTCAGGTTGACCTGATTGCAGCGCGCCGCCAAGGGCTTAGCGCGCGCTTGTTGAGCGGACGCTTTGTGGCTGGCGTGTATGTAAGTGTGTGTGTGCGGTCCTTGGCTGGAACGCATACACACACACGTTGTGCATTTGGCGCGTGTCTGCGCATTTTCTACGGCTTCACGTAACGCCAGGCACAGACATTAATTTCACGGTTTTCTCTACCTGCGCTGCTCGCTTATTTCACTTTTGCGCCATTCATTTCAATTTTGTGTGATTTCCACACCCCCGACGCGCCGCTGTCAGCCTGTGAGTCTAAGTATTTCCACTCTTGTTTGCGGCACACGTGCGCACTTTCTTGGTATTATTTCAAATTGGTCTGTATCGCATATAAAAAGCAGCAACAATAGCACAGGTAAATTGAAACAACAAAAACCACGCAAAACAAGGCGCACGAAAATCAACAAGCAGACATTGTAAAAAACGAGCATAAAAGATATCAGCAGCAGAAGCCACACAAAACAATTCCAGGGAGTAAAAGTGGCAGGCAAAGAGGCACACAGAGTCGCATTTCACAGCAATTTGAAAATATCACGTATATGACAGGTTGTCCTTCGAAAATATTTATAGCGTGCTGTAGGTCGCCCGTGAGAGTCCACGCGAAAACATGCTAAATTTTAATGAGCTCAATGCGAACGAGTTATATTTCAATGTGACAAGCCGAGTATGCCCAAAGACGCTGTAGGCTGCAGCACATTTAAAGCGGCGCTTTAGTGTGAGTGTGAGAGTGAAAAATCAGGTCCTGTTTCGATTATTCAGTGCACAGCATTTGGGTAGACGCAAAGTTTAATTCAAAAAAAATTCAAACTTACAAAGCATTGAAAATACCGTAACCGAACTCTTTCTGCAAGATCAATGAAAACTGCAGTAGTAACATCGATGGATACTTCTTTTCGACTACCCAGAAGCAATGTATTCAAAAAATGTTGGAGCTGTATGGAGAACCACTAAAGTTAATCCAATCTTCAGCTCTACTTATGTTAACCCTTAAACCAGAGTAACCTATAAAAACAGTTGAGTTGGCAACCTTAATTTTTTCTTCTCTTCCTGTAACAATTAGCTCTTCCGGTCGCTCTCTCTCTCTCTCTCTCTCTCTCTCTGGACGACTCTTTTTAGCTCATTTCTTATTTTATACTTTCTTGCTCTCTCCATAACTCCGGTTTCTTTATATTTTTTCTTTCTTTGACATCTTCGCTCTCACTCTCT